TTATTTTATTTTAATATCTTTTTCCATTTTTTTTTCTAGTAATATTATCTTACCAAAAATAGTATGGCTGCAGTGGAGATGGGAAAGCAGCGTGTTGGGCTGTTGTTTCCTCCTCTTCCTTCTCATTGCCAAGCACTTTGTAAGTAAATCTACCCATATCTATTAATTTTTTTTTCTCATATCTTAGTTCATTTCACTTATTTATTAAATCATCTCACCTACAAATCATATGTCTTTGAATTAAAAATTTATTTTCATTGAAAAAGATAACAAAGATTGCTTAAGTTCGTTCGCATAGATTTATTCATTATTATTTTCTTATGATTGATACATATATATATATATAAAATTTTTTTTTCTAATTTTGTTACATAATCAACTCATGAATCTATAATTAACGTTTGCTCTTTTTCTTTTACAACATGCAGAGCAAGAAGAAACCCAAGTTCTTCTGGATATCAGCTATGGCACCATTGACCTCGGTGATTCTCGGAACCCTTCTTGTTTATCTCACCCACGCAGAGAGACATGGTGTTCAAGTGGTGAGGAATCTCTCAAAAAGCTTTATTTTTATGATTCTCTGCCTCTGAACGGTTGACCCATCAAAAAAATAAATATATATGGTCCAATTCCAAAGTTTGTATCTTTTCTGCTTTCTGGGCACGAACAAACCCAAAAATTGTCCAGTGAGCCCACCCATACTAGAATCCTACCAATTTTGGGGGGTCCATTACATCCCTTCCGCTTCTGGGTTGATGGGGCAATTTGAATTGATAAAAAAAATTGGTGGGCATGTTGTTTTGTTTTGAACCAGATAGGACAGCTGAAGAAGGGACTGAATCCACTGTCAGCTGGGGATTTGGTGTTCTCATCGCGGTACATGATGACTGCTATCAAAACTGGCATGATCACGGGCATGATTGCTCTTGCTGTAAGCAATCTTATCCACATTTCTTCACTCTTTGAATAGAAAAATGGGTCTATGTGTTTCTGTACTTTGAATATCATAACTTAGGGATTTGGGAACAGGGAATGGTTGTGTCCCTGTCAGGGGTGGGTGATGTTTCCTTTTTTGGGATGTCAAAGAAACCCCTCTTCATGACCCATTCAAAAGCTTGGTGGGTAAACCCAAGTGGTCTTAACACCATAAGGTGTGGTCAGATTTTTCCTGTTTTTGACATGTTCCTGCACCTCTAGAAAATGTGTAATCTGTATCATGTCTTCTATTGTTAAGTTGAAATTAGATTTAGCTTGATTCATACCATGTTTTGATTAATGGGTTTGAGAGAAATTCTGGGATATGAAGACAAAAAATAAGAGAATAAAGTAGTAAACCAATGAAATTGATGGGGTTGTTGTGAAAACAGGAAGGAATTGCAGTAGGAAGAAGTTTTGCCATGTTTAAGAATTACCACATTGATGGTAACAAAGAGATGATTGCTATTGGGGTGATGAACATTGCTGGTTCCTGTACCTCTTGCTATCTTACAACAGGTATATATGCTTACATATTAGTATCTGACACAAACTTTACAACTTTGGTTAATGGCTAAGTCCTAAATTGGATTATAAATTATAATTTGTTCTACATTGTGATGAAATTTCAGGGCCATTTTCGAGATCAGCTGTGAATTTTAATGCTGGATGCAAGACAGCCGTATCTAACATTGTCATGGCAGTGGCAGTCATGGTCACTCTGCTGTGCCTAACACCACTGTTCCATTACACTCCTCTAGTAGTTCTTTCCTCCCTGATAATATCTGCAATGCTCGGTCTTATTGACTACGAAGCTGCAATCCATCTTTGGAAAGTTGACAAATTTGATTTCATTGTTTGCATGGGTGCCTATGTTGGTGTTGTTTTTGGCAGTGTGGAGATTGGCCTAGTTATAGGGGTACGTGTATATTTCAAATCAACCTCTACCAGTAAAGGGATTCATGTTTTACCGGTCTAAACTATACATTAAAAGTGCAATCTATCATATAAATTTACTAAATTACTCTTAACGAAATGACTTTAAAAAATAGTTTCATTAGGGTATTTTAGTAAATTCATGGGGTGGACTACATTTTTAATGTACCATCTGTCCTGGAAAACACTGCTTCGACCAGTGAAACTGGTTTTTTCAGTCATTAACACCAATTCAATGCTATGTCAAGTGCAGGTTGTGATTTCCTTGCTCAGGGTGCTTCTGTTTGTTGCAAGGCCAAGGACTTCTGTGCTAGGAAACATTCCAAATTCCATGATATACAGAAATGTTGACCAGTACCCAATTGCAAACAGTATTCCTGGAATTCTCATACTTGAAATTGATGCTCCAATTTATTTTGCCAATGCAAGCTACTTGAGAGAAAGGTATTAATAAAATCCACCACCCCATTACTGCATAAAACAGTAAACCTTTTTCTGCATTTGATCCAAATTTTGTCCTTATTCTTACTAGGATCTCAAGGTGGATCAATGAAGAAGAAGACAAGCTAAAATCATCTGGAGAAACCAGCTTGCAGTATTTCATACTTGATATGGGAGGCAAGTTGTTGTTGGTGCTTTTTTATTTATTTTGGGCTAGATTGTTCTTCTGAGTTCAGAAAGTGTAGCAAATGAGTTTATCTCGCTGATATGTGCATTATATTTTTGGTTTCACAGCTGTTGGCAACATTGACACAAGTGGGATTAGCATGCTTGAAGAGGTTAAGAAGACTGCCGATAGAAGGGGGCTCAAGGTGCTTTCAAAATTCTGCATAACATTCCAATTAACCAGCTTATTCGTTGTGGACTAATTGCATCATGATTTCTGAAAAATCTAATGGTTTTGATTCTAATTCGATATGTTTTCCGTGTTTTGCAGCTTGTATTGGCTAACCCTCGAGCTGAAGTGATGAAGAAATTAAACAAGTCTAACTTCATTGAAAATATAGGCCAAGAATGGATACACTTGACTGTAGGAGAAGCTGTGGCAGCCTGCAGTTTCATGCTTCATTCTCACAAACATAACCCTGCCAAAGATGAATCAGAGCATGGCGTCTAAGCCATATTTTACGGAATGGAGCATATGCGACGTCCTTTTTTCTCTTTAAATCTAGCTAAATAAAGTTATGTTTGGCTTTTGCATCTGAGAATCAGTATGCATTGCTGAATTATAAAGCAAATAAGCAAGAAATGGGTTGAATTAAGGTAGATAGTCTGACTTGAATTATAGGACTTTTTTTTCACTTACAAAAATATGAATCTTGTAATGTCATCTTATAAGTGAAAATGTAAAAAATAAATACTCTTTTTAATACCGATCGGTGCACGTGAATGATTTTAAATAGATAATAAATAAATTTAAAGTTAATTTTTATTTTTTTAATGAAAATTAATTATAAAAAGATGTAATTAATACATTCTTAAACTACTTAGTACAGGTTAGAAAAACTCTAACACTTTGCTTGGGAACATGAGTTTCATTGGAGTGTATTAGAATTTTGGACTTCAAATTCAAATGCATTATTTGTTTATATTAAATAAGAGTATGTATTTGAATTTGCATTAAAGACAAATATTTGAAATTGTGTATTTTCAAGTAAAGATTGTATGTATTTCAAGTATCCGCCTACCTCTATAAATTTCAATTCTTAATTTTGGTATTTTATCAAATTAAGTTAGATCATCGATGAAAATTCTTATAAACTTTGCTATTACTCATTAGTATTTTCTAATCAAGATCCTTTTCTTTTTTAGTACAAAAATGTAATACTTGAATATAAATCTCAAATCTGTATCATGGTGAGCACACCTACAAGTTTACCAATCGAGTCTACTAGCACTTGTATCTGCTTCGCCACCTTCCTTCGCTTTGCTCCTCTTTTTCTTAGAATTAATTAGAACGCACTTTACTAGCACTTTTATTTCGAGAGATGGACCTGTCCCAACTTCATATAGTTATTTATTTGGCTAGGTTCCATATTTTCTTAAAGAATGGACGGGCAATGGAACTCGTTTCCCATCAAGATGCTCAACTTTGTTACTCTTTTCTATTTGAGAGTGATTATTAACAAAATTTCTTGCAAAATTTATTTAGTTGAATTGGTGTATGATATTTGAAAATTTTTGGGTCTTGAGGTGATGAGGTTGGGAAGAGTAGAGTCTTCTTTTGCTTTGCACACCACCTATTCAATAAATTGCCCCAATAGGGTTATGGTGTTTCAGTCATGTGATTTGTTAAAGTTTTATTTAAGGTTTTTTTTTAGTTAATTTATTCATTATAATTGGTTAAAATATACCTTTAACCTCTCACCTTAATAAATTTAAAGATTTTAACTTTTATATTTAAGGGTGAGTATAGGTATAGTACTATAGCATACCATATTAATTTTGTCTTGTACCGATTGTATTCAGGTTTTTAATCTTGTACCAAATACCAACTCAAATATGTTGAATCAGTACATTATTTGAGAATCAATACTCAATATTTTTACAACAAAAACTAAGTACCGACCCAATGTGTACCGGTTAACATTGGTCCAAACGTCCATTTTTCAAAGAGAAAGCAAAACAGGGGCTTTTGGCTTTTTCTTCTAATTTGGCAGATGGAACACATATCAAAAATCAAAGCCTCAAAGCCCCAAAGCAGCTACAACATCACAAAGATGGGCATGCCGCATGCAATTCTCTCACAGTCCCACTTTCTCATCTTCTCCAACTCGTCTCTCTTCACCTATCGTTTTCCCTGTACTCTCTGTTTCTCTTTTATTTTAATTTCCTAGTTTCGCAAGAATAAAATTTTCCAATCTTTTGAAATTTTGTTTGGATTTAAAGCAATTGAAAGGGAATTGTTTAATCTATCAAAATTGTTTAAGAATTTGCACATCACACCCATCTTTTGAAGAAAGATCAAGCAAGACTTACTGGTGGTCGCCTCATCGGTATTTGGTTGTGGGTTGCAGCGCCAGTTGTCACCGGCACCGCTGTCTGCTTGCAATTGTGGAGACAGCACCGGGGGAGAGCAAAGTCGATCGTAGATGAACACAATCGGTAGAACCGTAAAAGGTAGAACGACGGGTAAAAAGATTAAGGATTTTAAGGATTGTTTAATATTTACTATTTAGCATTGAATTAGGAATATTTAATTATTTTAATTTTTTAATTAATTTATTTATAAATATATTTTAAATATTTAATTATAATATGCAATATTTCGTACGGTATTTAGTATTCGATATTTTTGAGTTGAAGTTCGAATACTATCTCAAAATATTAATCGGTACCATTCTTACCGGTGTTTTGTTCTTATTTGTACAAGTCCC